AAAAAAAAAAAAAGTTAGTCTTATAAAAATGTAGGATCTTGGGCTCAGCACCTGTAGCTCAGGGGCCAGGGCACCAACCACATACACTGAAGCTGGCAGGTTCAAATCCAGCCTGGGCCTGCCAAACAACAATGACAACAAAAAAATAGCTGGGCATTGTGGTGGGCACTTGTGGTCCCAGCTACTTGGGAGGCTGAGGCAGAATCACTTAAGCCCAAGAGTTAGAGGTTGCTGTGAGCTGTGACACCACAGCACTCTACCCAGGGTGACATAGGGAGCCTCTGTCTGAAAAAAAAAACAAAAATGTGGGCTCTCAGCTCAGAGGACCTGTCTGGAGGGGCCTGTGTGTTGAGCGGAGCTGTCCACTCCTGCCTTCAGTAAGGCCTAGAATCTCCTGGGTGCTCAAGCCCACTGTGTCCCTGTCACTCGTGGTTACATACCCCGTCACTGGCCACCGTAGGCACTTGAATAAGCCACTGGCCAAACACTCCTTCCAGACCCCTTTCCCCTGCCGCCCCGTAAAGCAGCAATAATATTAAACCCTTGAGTGCAGACACTTTGAGCTTCACTGGTAATAATCGATTACCTTATATATTTATGTTAGATGGGTGTGGGGTGCTGAATGCTCCACACACAGCTCCCTTCACAAGGGAAGGATGTATCCCCCAACTGTGGGGATTGCCTAGGCTGAAGAGAACTGCCGGCCCCAAGGCGGAGCCCCTTCCTAGGGTAGCTGGCATTAAGGCGCAGATGGACAAAGGGTGCAAAGCCCTGACTCCAGCCTCAACATGGAGCTCTCAGGTGGCATTGGCAGAGACCTCCCTGGAGGTGCACTGCAGCCTGATGTCCCCACTGCCACTCCTGCCCCCACCCGTCCCTTCCACAGGTGTTGAGGCCAAGGGTGTTACTCATAAGCCTCCCAAGTGATAATCTCATCCTGCCCATGATAACCGGGAAGGTACATTGGGATTAGGTGCCAAAGCCTCTCAAACGCCATGTGGAGGACGAGGCCGTATCCTGTAGCACAGCACTTCACAGTGTGCGCACAGCTCTTGCATCACAGAGCTCACAGGGATCACCTAGAAAGGGGGGTTTGGTGGCTGAACAGATGCACACAACACTGCAGAGACGTTAATGTGCTGATGTCATTGCAAATCTCAGTCCTTCCTAAACTTATCTGTCTTGGAACTTTCTCCCCTGTGGGGCATAGCTCATGAGACTGATGTCCCAGGGAGCACACCCTGGGGGGGGCATAGCTCATGAGACTGATGTCCCAGGGAGCACACCCTGGGGGGGGGGGCATAGCTCAGGGACTGATGTCCTGGGGAGCACACCCTGGGGGGAGGGGGCA